CACAATAAAAATGGTTAATCAACCTATCATAATTACAAAAAATGAACAAAATAAAAAATTATGATTGGTTGAATGAGGTTTTCACTGTTTTTACAAATTGAGTAGTTTTTATTTGAACGCTCCCCTATATATATAGATATATGGGCTTATTCAAGGGAGAATTGATTAGTTTGTGATAATCGTGAGATCCAATCTCAATTACAAATCAATACATAAATTAAGAAATTTATAATTTTAGTAATTTTGAATTAAAACTTTAATGCAAAGACATTTTAGGTATTTTCTCTCGTCTCTCCTCTCTTTTCTCTCTGTCTCCCGTTCTCCGGTGATACCACTGTGATACATAAAAATATTGATTATGTTAAACAAAAAGACACAGTGTGATACTCAAGCACATATAAGATGCATTGTGATACCACTGTGTTACATCTCCGATCGACCACACAAACGACCTCAGTGTGATACCCAAACACATATAAGACACATTGTGATACCATTGTGGTATCACCGGAGGAAGGTAGTCGGAGGCCGGAGGCGGGGGACGGAGAAAGAAGGGAGGAGAGTGGAAAGAGACGAGAAAATACCTAAAATGTTCTTGCATTAAAATTTTGATTCAAAATTACCAAAATTATAATTTTTTAATTTATCTATTAATTTGTAGTTAAGATTGAACTTTACGATTAACCATAATATATATTGGTTTCATTCCGTACAACTACACAGAGGCCATTGTGATCTCATATTTCTTCATGAGAGGTGTTCCCCCAACTACAGTAGATTTAGTGACGACTTCAGATGTGGACCAATCAGAACCACCAACATTCCACGCCATTCGAGCCAAAGAATCACCAGCCTCGTTAACCCCTGAAATCAAATGCGAAAAAGGATTCAACGGCTCCGGAACCTCTAATGCACCTTCCAACATTTTGACAACGATGCTCATCACCGGCCGAGTCTCCGGCCGATATTGCACACAACAAAGAGCGACCTTAAGCGTCCTCTCCGCAGCTTCTTCATCCCTCTCTTCAATCGTACAAACCATCATCAACTCCTTCAACTGCTTCTTTTCGTATTTGCGCCACGCCCACAGCGGGAACCACTCTTGGCTATCACCGAGAGTCACGTCCATGTTCCTCCTCCTCCCGACGATCTCAAAAAGTA